AGCACCAAGAACTTCATGTACAGAGTATATAGCTGTAGAGTATGTTCTAATAAAATAGTTGAAACTAGCATAACCTATTTGTGTTAGTGTGTCTTCAATACATCCTTGCTCTAATAGTACATATAAGATGATACGTATCTTGTAATTGATAATGGGGAGAAAAAAGGAGTCTGCCATTGCTACTGTTCTTTTTGACAAGCTGCAAGTTGGAAGAAGTAATTGGGAAAATAAATGGGGTAAGCACAGAACTGAGAAAAGGAAGGTGGCATTAACTAGACTAGCAATTCTAAATTTGGTCCATTTAGCCAAAAATGAATGGCAGCTTCAGGATTTTAGGCAAGAGGTTTTTTCCAGCCATATCTGGAGAAATCGCAGATTGGATCGGCTTGCATGAAAAGTATGCAGTCTTAAAAACAGAATGTCTATTTGAGGAACAATGAAAACAAATGGTATTTATTATAAAGGCTGGATGGAATGAATGCCTTCAGGTTTGAAGGACTAATCTAACTAACCCCATTTGCACCCGTCCAGAACAGCCTCTTCATTCAGTTCCCTTCCAGTTTTCAGCTGACCAAATTTCCTCCTGCACAGAAAACGGATTCTCCCCTCTCTTGCTTCAGTTTATCTTAACATAATGCACTTCCCTTTCCCTTCAAAATAGTGACAGACAGGAACTATCACACTATTTATGTCTTTATGGTTATTTTAATGTTTTTGCTGCTCGGAGACGCTGAGAAACAGCATACTGTAGAGATCTGTGGCCACTGGCCATCATCATCATCATCATCATCATCATCATCATCATCATCATCATCCATCAATTATGAACTGTATTCTTCCTTGTATCCTTCCTTCCTGCCAACAAAAGTGTGTATAGTCAAGGCTATGGTTTTCCCAGTTGCAATGTATGGCTGTTGGACCATAAGAAAGGCTGAGCACCAAAGAATTGAGGCCTTTGAACTATGGTGCTGGAGAAAACTCCTGCGAGTCCCTTTGACTGCAAGGCGATCAAACCGGTCAGTCCTAGAGGAGATCAACCCTGACAGCTCTTTAGAAGGCCAGGTCCTGAAGATGAAACTCAAATACTTTGGCCACCTAATCAGAAAGAAGGACTCCCTGGAGAAGAGCCTAATGCTGGGAAAGACTGAGAGTAAAAGAAGAAAGGGACGACAGAGAACGAGGTGGCTGGATGGAGTCACTGAAGCAGTAGGCGTGAGCTTAAATGGACTCCAGAGGATTTTAGAGGACAGGAAGGCCTGGAGGAACATTGTCCATGGGGTCGCGATGGGTCGGACACGACTTCGCAACTAACAACAACAATTCTTTCTTGTAAACATTTCTGCCTATCCTGTCAGGCTTGTTCATTCAGATTTTTTTCATCTTTTCTTGACCACCCAATTTGTCTTCTTTGAATGACGTCTGTGCTTGAGCCAACGGTATGAACTTTGGAATAAGAGGCCGTGATAAATGAACTGAAGGTTTTTGGTCTGCAAGTAGAGGAATGATATATTTAATAGCAAAAAATAGCAAATTTTTGGTAAGCAGAAGTCACAGACCACCAGTGCTCACTATGATAACTTCAATCCTGTTAGCTTTTTGTAAAGCTCTGAAGACCTGGCTGTTCTCCCAGGCATTTGGGTCAGGCAGTTAGATAAGCTCTATTAATATGATTTTTATTTTTGGAGGTTATTGTTTAACCAGAATATTGTGAGTTTATATTGTGATGGTGGTTTTAATCTTGGTTTGCTTCCCAGAGTCACTGTTGTAAGATGGGTCACTTTACAAATGGTTTTTAAAAGATAAATATAATTCTAATAAGGAGACTAGCTCCTTTTTTTAAAATAGAAAGCGCAGTCAAAGAAGCTAAGAAAATTGAAAGAAAGGGGGAAAAAGGAGGAGCAATTAAGAGCAGAGAAAGGAAACTGATAAAAGGACAGCTCAAAAGAGGCGAAAGAAAGGGAAAAGAGCTAACCAGTTTTATCTAAAAAATAAATTAACACTGGTAGCTCTTGTAACTTACTACCCTGGAATAGAATATTCAGGAGCAGTTTTACTGAGGAAGTGTCTAGAATTAGAGCATGTCTAGAATTACTTCATTATATTTATATTTGCATTGTATTAATTGTATTACTAAGTTTTACTTATTGAACACTGTAATTGAGGAGTCCTTGGTGCTCTTTGAGTTTGGTTATTTTCTTGCAGATGTTTCATTACCCAAACTATATAACAGACTGATGACACTACTTAGTTTGGGTAATGAAATGATTGCAAAACAACTAAGATCAGAGACCACCAAGGACCCATCGTTTCAACCCTGAGCTACAAATATTCTCCTTTACTGTATTTAATCGTTCATCATCAACTAGCCCTCTATGTAAATAAGAGTCAAAATGTAATCCTTGCCAGTTATAAAAAGACCAGTGTTATTTTTCTACTGATGTTGTAGGGAGGTTTTAAATTGTATTTTACTGTCCCAAAACATTTGACTACTGTACTGTAACTAATTTCCAATTAATTAAATTCCAAGCTCCTTTTCACACATGCTGTTGGCAAGTCAGATATTCCCCATCCTATATGTCTGCTCTTTGGATATATTTTTCCTAAATGAAAAGCTTGATGTTTGTCTCTAGTGAATTTCATCATTATTTTCAGTCCTCTGAATGATGTTTTTTTTTACAGTAACGGCTATTCTATCAAGTTTGTCTTATACAGGAATCAGTAAGCGTTTTCTCTATTTTCAAGTCTTTCATGAATCTGTTGGTATGCTTTTTGGTAACTCATTCTAACTTGATGAGGAATCAACTCCCAACACTTGCTACTAATATTATTATAATAATTAATAATAGCTGTTACTGTATAATTTTTGAGTCTGTTGGAGATCTGCTAAATAGATACATTATGTACATTTTGTTCATGTTTTAACACTTAACCACTGTTACTATTTTAATATTCATACACGAGTTTGGAGCGATTCCTTCACAGTCCTTTTGTGTGTTAATTTTCCTAAATAATTTGTGTCATCAGGTAACGTTTTCACACCCAGATTTCTCTTCCTAAAGAATTACTCTGTAATGTATAACTCTGGCGAGCTTACTCAAGCTCTACTGGTAAGCATTAATGTTTATGCAACCTATATTTCAGGGGTGAAATCCAGCAGGTTCTGACAGGTTCTGGAGAACCGGTAGTGGAAATTTTGAGTAGTTCAGAGAACCAGCAAATACCACCTCTGGATGACCCCAGAGTAGGTTGGGAATGGAGATTTTGCAATATCCTTCCCCTGGAGTGGAGTGGGAATGGAGATTTTGCAGTATCCTTCCCCTGCCACGCCCACCAAGCCATGCCCACCAAGCCACATCACGCCCACCAAGCCATGCCCACAGAACCGGTAGTAAAAAATTTTGGATTTCACTACTGCTATATTTGTATATGTATTCAACATTAATTGCATTTTCCCCATGTTCAATGTCCATCTTGTTAGCATCCTCAAAATGCTGATTAACACTTCAACAAATCCTTGTTGTGGGATTTACTTGAACAGTTTTATTATTATGGTTTGAAAAAATTGATTATCAATGGATTCAGAACTTTAGCCCCATTCTAAACTGTGTTAATTGATTTTAACAGAAATACCATTGACTTCAGCAGCTGTTTAGGTGGAAACAGCACTAGAAAAGGCTATTTAGGCCATCATATCCAGCCTCTTTCTCAGTGTCAAAATCCAAGTTAAAACATCCCATTTAGTGGGTTGAACAAACTCAATTAAGGCAAGCTACTACCTCTCTGGCAACTGGATTCACTGTGAAGTTGCTCTTATGAAGTTGGGGTTTCCCCCCTTAAAATTCAAATGAAATCTGCCTTTGTTTAGCATGGTTCATCTTCCGTTCTGAAGACACAGGACAGGGCTGAACTCTCTCTCTATGGTCACCTTTTGGCTCTTTGAAGATTGTTATTATATCCTCCATATAAACACCAGTGGTGGGTTTCAAAAATTTTTACTACCAGTTCTGTGGGCGTGACTTGCTTGGTGGGCGTAGCTTGGTGGTCATGTGACTGGATGGGCACGGCCAACTTGACATCACCCACAGCCATGGCCACTCAGTCGCATGACCACCCCACCTAGCCACGCCCACAGAAAAAGGTAGCAATTTTTTTTTGAATTTCTACCTATCTATTTATTTTCTGCCAAGGCCTGGCCTAATCTATCAAAGGCCTCCTCCTGCATGCTGCCCTGCCCTCCCTTCACTAGTTGCTGAACAGCGCGATCGTCAGAGGCTTTTTTTTTTAACTTTTAAAAGCAATGCTCCAGTAGTTTTCGGCAGCTTGGGAAGCTTTTTCTTTTTCAATGTGACTGTGAAAAGCCTCCCAGCCGCCACCTCTTTGCCAGCCGCTTCCCAGCAGTCGTGTGGGCGGGGCAAGCGAGCAGCAACTGGGCTACCTGTTTGGGGACATGGCCAGCCAGCGGTTGCTACCAGTTCGGCGACCGAGGCCAAAGTACCACTACCGGTTCGCCCGAACTGGTGCAAACTGGTAGAAACCCACCACTGATAAACACCCATCTTCTCTTTCCAGGGCTAAACATATCCAGCTCCTTTAATGTCTCTTTTTAAAACTTAGTTACTGAACCCCCGATAACTCTCGCTGAGTTTTTTTTTGAACTTCTTTTCTGAATCCTTCTGGAAACACAGCACTTCAGGTGGGAATATTGCACCACAAAATGGACTGGAATTATAAATTTCTGTATCATTTATTCATTGGATAAAGCTTTTATTATAAAGAGGGGAAAAAATTCTTCTAGCAGTTTTTTACACTGTTGATAGTTTAGTAAACCTTTTATTAGAGAGGAGCTGAATTTCTGAAAGCGAACATCATGGGTTTGTGCGAATGGGGGGGAGGGACTGAAAAGTAGGATAGAAAATGTTTTATTAAACTAGATTAATTACTCTGAAAAAATTACTGAAAAGCCAAAGATTTCGCCAACAGAACAAAAGAAACATGACACATTTAGAAAGTGAAGAATATGTTTTCTTTCTGTTTCTTAAAACTTTCTTGTAACCACATGTATCTATAAAGGTGATCTTTTCTCCAAAGCTTCATATTAAAACTTCTTGATTACAAGTATATATTAAATACATTAACAACATTTCATGCAAGATTTTTTTTTCTGTACAGCTCAACCAGCTCAGTAGTATATTCAAATCTATACATTCCCAAAGACTTAGCAAAGTTCCCTACCTTGGAAATATTTTATTTTATACAATGCTGGTGATTAGGAAGAAAGGTGGTGTGTGATTTCTAAAGGATTATCATCTTAAATAATATCTGTGAATTAGCTGAAAATGTGGGTTCTCTTTCTTTTCAATGGATAGCAATTTCAGGATTTTGTCAAACTTTTAGCTAAAATGTTTTTGGGAAAAAAAACCTTGAATTGTGAAAACAGGGGTCATTTAATCTTGCAAAGATCACATGGACAGTGGCATTCCAGAAGAATGGAAGAAAAATCTGTTCAATTTACAACATAATACGTATATACTTTCCCCACCCATAAAACTATAATGTCAAAAATGTCAATATTTGCACATTCCCCAAAGTTTTGATGCAGTCCAGCAATTTAAGAAAATATGTGCAAAAACATGCATATTGGGAGAAAGTGTACAAAAATGTTCTTATGGAATTTTAATTAAAAATATTCATCAGGATGAAATGGGAGGAAATAAACATGATACTACAGCAAGAAAAAGAAACCAAATGAAATCAGAAGCGACAAGTTTATCCATCCCTATTCAGCCTATGTACAAAGAGACATTATTTCCCAGAATATAGGCGTATGGTAACATAACAAATATATCACATTTTGTCCACATTGGATACAGGTTTAAGTATCATATTTTGGGATTGCATCAGGGACTGTAGGTTTTCTTGTTTTTAGAGAAGATGTTGAGAACTTGAGATACAAAGAGAATTGCAGGAAAGATTCTCCAGTTTTGATTTGAACAGAAATGGGCCCTTTGGGAACAGAAGTCATCCCTGCTCCAGACAAGGTGGTTTAAAACAGCTGGAAGATAAACAAGATTACCAAAAGAAAGATATCAGGAACAGAAATAGAAGCTTATTCAACAGGTGGCATCGCCTTTTGAAGCAGAGCTTCTGTGTCTTGAACAAAACATGCCTGTGCTTTTAATTTCCTGTTGCATGACCGATGTAAATCTCATGAAATATAATTCTTATTAACAAAGAGGTAGAGAGATTAGGAAACTTCATCTACCAAAATATTTTATTACTAAATGCCCTCACACTTATGCATAATTCACAGTTCTTCTGCCTTTTGCTCCAGGGGCCTCTGAAAAAGAGCGGAGAATCAAAAAAGAAAAGAAAAGAAAAGAAAAGTAAGATGGCGGTTAAACAATCATGTTCAATCCTCCCTATATCTGTAGACACACATAAAACAGAGGTAGGCAATCATAACCACCAACTTAATTTTTCTTTTTAATCACTCTGCACCCCAATAGACACACTTGTCTTGGTTAAAATAACTTCCTGGAGCTTTACTGCTGTTAGTAAGAAGACTGATTGGATAAGCAATTTAAGACTTTTCTAGGAAAAGTTTGAAATGTGTCTCCGTGGTTCGAGAGACCATTAAGAAGGGGGAAAAAAAGCAGCGCCAGGAGACAGAAACTTCATACACCATGTATATGCCATCTTCTTTTGCCCTTCAAAAGGAATGATGTAAAATTAATTATGAAGGACTTTTATGATAGAACTCCAAATACTTCAAGCCAAACCTTTGCCCACATACGAAACATGGAAGTGCCAGAGAAAGATCCCTGAGTTGGCGCGGCAAATGTCTAGATTCATATGATGCCTTTGCTGGCTTCACGGTTAACTGCCTCCTCCCCATTCAGTAACACAGACAGCACATATAAAGTGGAACAAAACTCATGTAAACTCAATGTCACTCCTTCAGAGAAATAAACAAGCAAGCAAACCAATCACACAAAGACAAATAATGCAGGGAACAGAAGCTCTGCTGCATGCAGATAATTTCTTCCTCTGCTGCTCTGTCATATTTTCCAGGTGTTTTTAGATCCAAAGTAAGAATAGATTGAAGTCGGCTTAAGTGCACAGTGCAAACATAGCTTTAAAGCTCAATATATTAAGTAGCCTTAGGAAGCATCTATTTCAATACGCTGAAACATATGACAGCCAATAGCCGTAAGTACTTGGAAGCAGAAAAACAAATAAGGAAAGAAGTTTGGGGCTTACACAAATATGTCCTGTCCCTTTGATGTTGCCAGCATTTTATTCCCAGCACCCATGACACATTCTTAAGCCATCCTTAGATAGAGCGGTGCTAAAGTTGCATTTTTTCCCCTACTTGGGGATATAAAATCCGTCAAGCTTTATCAACTCTCATTTTCCAGGAAAGCAGATGATTGCCAGTGATGGAAAAAAGAGGCAAGAGAGTCAGTCAGTATTCTGTTTGTTTTCTGCTGACTCGGATATGGTTGGGAAGCATTTCAACAGCAATGGGAAAAAGCCTTCAGAATCCTTTAAAGTTACCTGCCTTTAGAATTATGCTCATTTCAAAAAACAATTCTTGTGTGCAAAAAAAGAGGTGAACTCAACATACACTGGATAAAATATTTATGGAGATTCTCAGTCACCCAGGTCATAGTTGTCCAAAGGTGCTTTTTCAAGAGGCAACTGGACTTCCTTTGTTTTTCCTTGAGGATGTTTCGCTTCTCATTCAAGAAGCTGAAGAAGCTTTTTGGATGAGAAGCGAAACATCTTCAAGGAAAAACAAAGAAAGTCCAGTTGCCTCTTGAAAAAGCACCTTTGGGACATGGACGATTAGTGTATGAAGCTGGAGTAGTTCCCCTCAATCATGGAAGCTTGACTTCGGGACAATCATTATCTCTCAGCTCAGCCCAGCCCTTCAAAGGACTATTGTTGACAGAGTAAAATTGAGAAGCTCATCTAAGCTGTTTTGTAATGCTGGAGAAAAGGTGAGAGAGAAATCTAATAATTATCCTTCTCCTCTATAATCATTATCTGCTCTTAGGTACTGTTCTTAAAAAAAACACCACCTGTTGTCAGGTAGGACACCCACACTTCACGTTAATATTACTATGGGACTACCTTTTTTTTTCCTAGGGGGAAAAAAACCCTTGGCCATATTGCAAAAACAGCCTTCAAGAGGACCTTTCTGAAATCTCTTCTTCTTTCCAAAGGCTGGGATTCATCATTTATGATTCTCCACATACCTACATTTGCTGCTGTTGTGAGAATAACCTTCTAAAAGTGTGGAAGCTTTCCATGGAAATCCATGGTTAGAAATTAAAATTGGGTACCCATGCCATCAAAGCTCCCGTTACATCTGTAAGAGTTATGGATTACACAGATCCGAATTCTAGGTACCTGGTCTGAAAAACAGGCAGGTTTGATACAGTAAGTAATGAGAATGCAAACTCTTGCCCCAAATAAAGACATTTGCACTCTTTAAATCTTCAGGAACCATGAACTAAATTGTATAAATGTCTTTTAGGATATGGAGAAACAGAATTGCTCTGGTCTTTTACCATATCATTCATGAATTTTATCTGGACCCTTTTCAGTGCAAGACTCTTGGTTTTCTTCTTGAGAGATCTATTAAGAATAAATGTCTATGGGGATTCTCCAGTCATCCAGGTCATGGTTGTCCCAAAGGTGCTTTTTTCAAGAGGCAACTGGTTTTTCTTTGAAGATGTTTCACTTCTCATCCAGAGCTGAAGAAGTTTCTTGAATGAGAAGCAAAACATCTTCAAAAAAACTCCAGAAAGTCCAGTTGCCTCTTGAAAAAAGCACCTTTGGGATATTAAGAATAAACTATACAGAGGAAAGGTTGACGCTTAAATCATAGGGTCCCTTTGTTAGGAAGTAACTATTATGATTATTCTCATTTTATGGCATCCCCAATTATATCTTTGAAGGCCACTCTGGACAGTTCACACAGAAACTAATACTAGCCAAGATGTATCAATAGTTTACCCAAAGGTAGCTTCTCAGTTCAGTGGCAAAATAGTTCAGTTTTTTTGTAGGAGTGCACAGATTCAGCCTCCTATATCTCCAGTTACAAAGATTTCGGACAGCAAGTGAGAAAAACAATAGCTCACAAAATTGTGCTCTCAGTCAGATAGGCTAAATTATGGGTGTCCAACCTTTTGGCTTGCCTGAGCCACGACTGAATGAAGAGGAATTGTCTTGGGCTGCATACAAAACATGTAATATAGTTACTGTATACAAAATATTGCTAAAAATCACATAATAATGTTAAAGGTTTACAATCTTATCGGGCTGTATTACTATCTGTCCAGTGTTGCGTGTGGCCTATGGGCCGCGGATTGGACACACCTGCGCTACACGGATCAATGCGTTGACTTCTAATGAGACATCTTTCTATATATTTATGGTCTACAGTCAAACAAACGTGGATAGATATGTCTCCAGACAATACCTTATATACAAAGGGGTGGGGTGGGGGTGTTCTATGAATAAAGAATTGATATAAGTGAGAAATGGCAAAACTAAAATCTTTCTTTCAAAATACCAGCTTTCCACACTAATTCCACACTGAATTCAGCTTTCTGGTTTAGAAGAAGCTGGAGGTCCTCCTCCATACAACAAAACAATGAAAAAATGGTGGGAGAAAGAGTTTCCCACAAACACAAAACAAGGCAGAAGTAGATGGTTAAGGGTATATTGAACTTTTCTACTCTCTTTCTCATAAGCCTGCAAGCACAAGCGTTGCAGCCATCTTCTAATTCTAGAATTTAGGCATCTACGCAAAGCCAAGCATGGTTTCAGCAGCCAGTCTCCAGTAAGATATGATGAATATACAGTAGCCAATCAGGTGGTCAAACATATTTCTCAAAAAAATCCAATTGGCTACCTCAAGTCATGTGGTATTTTCTGTCTCTTATAAAACCTGACAGGACTGTGTCAAAGAGGGTCTTGTTGGTGAAGGATAGGGGGCTACTTCTGACAAGAACCATAGAATATCTCACAAACAATTGCTTGTTTCAAGAGAAAAATGCAGTTCTTAGGGTGCTGGAAAAAAAGAGAATTAAAAAAAAAAGAGGAATTAAATCTTCAGAAGCAGATCTCTAAAGGTTTGCCTCCATTAAAGAGCAAACTTTACCCTCCCTCCCCAGCCATAATTTAACTGTCCAGTATTTGCACAACTATATACAGGAAAAAAAAACCCAGCTACATAACAAAAGTAAAAATAAAAACAAAACAAAAATATCAGTTTTTCATTTCTTTTGACAATTCACCCGCATTAAGTCCGAGACTTCAAAAACATGCACATTCCTTGATGTCTTTTGGAAATGTTCAAGCATGCAATTTCTTCAGTCCCAGGTAAGAGTTTACGATTCATTTTGCGGAGAAACTGAGTTTCTTTTGTGGTCATTCCTTGGTCTCTTTGCCTGGGGATAGGGACATAGGAAACAACAATTTAAAAAAAATAAATTACATTTGTGCTGACCTTTCTTTAACTGGACACAATTTAATAAAAAAAAGAAAAGGTTTTCTTTGCAGAAAACATTTTTATCATCTGAAATAGATTCAAACATTGCATTCTACCATAACGTTTCATTTTGGATTAATGTATGCTGTGAACCTAGCTACTTTTGTTTACTCGGTCAATTATGGTTGAGCAAATCATGGCTTAATCGATAGATGAAAGAGTCACTACCTCAAGATAACTAACTTGATAAGGATGGAAAACATTAAAGGGCCAGAAACTTCTCTGCAGAACCCTCTGCTGCTGGAAAGTGCTCTAAATTCTCTCTTAATTTGATTCTACAAATGGGGCAAAAGTACAGGTAATCCTTGATTTACAACATTTTGTTTAGTGACCGTTCAAAGTTACAACGGCATTGAAAATAGTGACTTATGACCATTTTTCACACTTATTACAATTGCTCACACTTATCACCGTTGCAGCATCCCCATGGTCACGTGATTTACATTCAGATGCTTGACAACTGACTCATATTTATGACGGGTGCAGCATCCGAAAGTCATGTGATCCCGTCTTGCGACCTTCTGACAAGCAAAGTCAACGGAGAAACAATTTAACAATTGCAATGATTCACTTAATAACTGTGGCAAGAAAAGTTGTCAAATGCGGTAAAACCCACTTAACAAATTTCTCACTTAACAACATAAATTTTGAGCTCCGTTGTGGTCGTAAGGTGAGGACTACCTGTAATGCATTACCCTGTTTCCCCCAAAATAAGACATCCCCTGATAATAAGCCCAATCGGGCTTTTGAGCACATGGAAATAAGGCCAAGCGCTTATTTCAGGGTTCAAAAAAATATAAGACAGGGTCTTATTTTCGGGTACTAAAATGCAAAGACTAGGATTTTTGATGGCTGGATTGTTCTCTGTCTGGGGATCTTCTGTAAATCTGGGAGATTTACATAATTCTTCCACATGTACCACACACAGACACATTTCATACAGGTAGTCCTTGACTTAAAACAGTTCATTTAGTGACATTCGAAATTACAATGGCACTGAAAAAAGTGAGTTTTATGACCCTTGCAACATCCTCATGGTCATGTGATCAAAATTCAGCTGCTTGGCAACTGGTTCATATTTATGATGCTTGCAGTATCCTGGGGTCATATGATCCTCTCTTGCAACCTTCTGTTTATATTTATATACTGCCCTTCTCCCGAAGGACTCAGGGCGGTGAACAGCCAACAGATAAAACACAAGAAATACAAAATTTAAAAACAGTATTAAAATCCAATTAAATTAATTTGGCCCACAATTAAAAGCACCCCTGTATTAAGACCCATAATTAAACAATTTAAAAATTAAAACAATTTAAAAGAGTTAGGCCAGCCCGGCTTGCTGGAATAAAGACGTCTTTAGGGAACGGCGAAAGGTGCGAAGATCTGGGATCTGCCGTATCTCCGGGGGCAGCTCATTCCAGAGGGTAGGTGCCCCCACAGAGAAGGCTCTCCCCCTGGGGGCTGCCAGTTGGCATTGTTTGACTGATGGCACCCCGAGGAGCCCCGGGAGCGTACTGGTCGGTGGGAGGCTATTGGTGGCAGAAGGCGGTCTTGTAAATACCCGGGTCCTAAGCCATGGAGCACTCTAAAGGTGGTAACCAATATTTTGAAGCGCACCCGGAAGACCTTGAAGCGCACCCGGTTAAGCATAACATCGCATGACTGTGACTCGTAACCTCCCACAAGCTTTTCCATTGACTTTTGCTGGTTGGAAGTCAGCCGTAAAGTTCGCAAATGGCGATCATATGACGGAATGATGCTGCGATCGTTGTAATTGTGGGCCAATTGCCTGAGTTGTGATCACATGGGACACTGCAGTGGCCACAACTTTTAAGGACTGGGTCTAAGTCATCTCATTCAGTGCCATTGTAACTTTGAACAATTGTTGAATTAGCGATTATTTAGAAAGGACTACCACTCTTTAGTTGCTCTGTTGTAAGAATTACTGTTGGCTGGTATTTACTGATCCTTCCCCACGTGGCTTGCAGGGTCCAAGAGAAGGGCCTTCTCTGCCGTGGCTCCCGCTCTCTGGAACATCTTATCTCCTGAGATGAGATTGGCTCCACCCTCCTGATGTTTCATAAGGACATTAAGATATGGCTCTCCCAGGTCTTGAGGAGGAGGAGCTTCATACTGGAGGTAGTTGACTAACTAAAACTTAATCCCATCTCCCCACCCCCGTGTGCCCGGCTCCTTCCTTGCTCATCTGGTGTTAATGGTTGGTATTTGTTAATGATTTTTATCTGCTGTGTTTCTATGATTGATGATTTTAATGTTTTTAAATACTTTAATTCTTTTATGTTTTAAGCCATTCACAGTCGTTGGATATGAGGTGAGGGGCAAATAACATTCATTCATTCATTCATTCATTCATTCATTCATAAATAAATAAATAAATAAATAAATAAATAAATTTCATTGCTTGTTCACAACAGCTCTGGAAAACGATGCTGGCAGGCCATAATTTAAAATATTATCTTAATTAAATCAGGAAGGTTTGGGCTTTGGCATTTATTTTATACTGTGTCTTCTACTTTTGAAATTCAAGCTGTGCCTTACACCAACACAATTATCAAGCCACAAAGCTGACGGGCAATCCCGCTGCAAGGGTACTCACCATCTAAATGATTACGGGAGAGATACTTCAAGCCTTCATCTAGCAGGATAACTGGCAAAGAGATTTGCAGCACTGTCTCCCATTGAGACCAGCTAAGTGGGATCACCTGAAAGATCAGCTGCAAGATAAGAAAATGATGTGGATTACGTCCTTTACCTTACATCAAGTCGTGGTGGCACGGTGGTTAGAATGCAGTATTGCAGGCTAATTCTGCTGACTGCCAATAGTTCGATGCTCATCAGTTCAAGGTTGACTCAGCCTTCTACCCTTCCGAGGTCGGTAAAATGAGGACCCAGATTGTTGGGGGCGATATGCTGACTCTGTAAACCACTTAGAGAGGGGCTGTGAAGCACTGTGAAGCAGTATATAAGTCTAAGTGCTATTGCTATTGCTACCTTCAAAACTCAAGTCTGGGAATGTTGTTGCTTCTATAATGTTCCAAAGAGAAAAACCTGAAGGATACTCAGACTTGCTGAAGTACCAAGAAATTTCAGGATGGGCATCATTTTGGAGTCAGGAACCATATGTAACTTTTTGGGGAAGAGGTGTGCCCACCCCCAAAAGCCAAGTGCAGCTACTGTTCATTTGCATTTTTATATTCTTTTGTTGTTTCAGACCAATGTTTCTCAACCTTACCAACTTTAAGACTGATGGACTTTACTCCCAGAATTCCCCAAGGCAGCCATTCTGACTGGGGAATTCTGGGAGTTGAAGTCTACAGTCTTAAACTTGCCAAGGTTGAAAAAGACTGCTTTAGATTCTCGTTTCTGTGTGTTTGCTGCTTCAAAAAGGGAGGAAACCCTGCTGCTGATTTTTGGGAATGTTAGTATCTGAATCCTCCCCCAACTGTGATCTGAAATCCTGGGATTCTGGGATCCTGAAACCAAGATTGCCCACCATTGCCACCAAGAATCCAAAGAGAGCAGTGGAGACAGGATGTGGCTGAGTGAGATCTTTCTAAATCCAATTTGGGTGCAAGAGACGCTACTTACGGGCATTGGCTTCACGTACAGAATCAGGAAATGCAGAGCCATAGACATGACAATGGCTCCCAGGAGCCAGATGTTCAGCCAGGGAGGCATCCTGAGTAGCGACTGGTTTTCAGACACACTGTAGAGGAGACAGAAGCTAATCATGCATCCACAATTCCTTAGCTTTCTGAAGGCATCTACATTCTACATTCGGTACCAGTTCGCAGCCTGCTGGGAACCGGGCTGTGCAAGCATGGGACCTAGGTGGCATGTGTGAAACCATCTCCTCCCTTCCTCCTGTCACTGCTGCTGATCCGTGGAGCCAAAAAGTTGGGGACTGCTGCTCCATGTCATTTCAGACCAGAGGTGGGTTTCAGCAGGTTCAGCAGGTTCTGACCAGTCTTGGAGAACTGGTTGCGGAAATTTTGAGTCGTTCAGAGAATCGGTAAATGCCACCTCTGACTGGCCCCGCCTCTATCTAATGTCTGCCTCCCGAGTCCCAGCTGATCGGGAAGATATGGGGATTTTGCAGTAACCTTCCCCTGGAGTGGGGAGGGAATGGAGATTTTACAGTATCCTTCCCCTGCCACGCCCACCAAGCCAAGCCACATCCACCAAGCCATGCCCATAGAAACCCACCACTGTTTCAGACAGTTCTACAAAATGACAATTACAGTAGTCCTTGACTTACAACTTACAACCATTTGTTTACTGAAAAAAAGTGACTTATGACCAGTGGTGGAATTCAATTTTTTTTACTACCAGTTCTGTGGGCGTGGCTTGGTGGGCGTGGCAGGGGAAAGATATTGCAAAATCTCCATTCCCACCCCATTCCTGGGGCCAGCCAGAGGTGGTATTTGCCGATTCTCCGAACTACTCAAAATTTCTGCTACTGGTTCTCCAGAACCTGTCAGAACCTGCTGAATAGCACCCCTGCTTATGACCAGTCCTCACACTCAGGGGTGAAATGCTCCTGGTCCGGACCGGATCGCCTGATCCGGTAGCGATGGAGGCGGGTGGTTCGGAGAACCGGTAGCAAAAATCCCTCACCCCCCCTCCCCCATGCCCAGCTGAGCCGCACAATCATCAGAGGCTTTTTTTTTTTACTTTTAAAAGCATTTTTTCTACAACCTCTTCCAACGAAAAATGCTTTTAAAAGTAAAAAAAAAAGCCTCTGATGATCGCGCGGCTCAGCTGGGATCCTCAAAGGCTTTTAAAAGAAAAAAACCCTTTTTTTCTTCTAAAAGCCTCTGACGATCCAAGCTGAGTTGCCTGATCATCAGAGGCATTTTAAAAAAAAGGGTTTTTTTTCTTTTAAATGCCTCTGACGATCCAAGCTGAGTTGCCTGATTGGCAGAGACTTTTTTTCTTTTAAATGCCTCTAACAATCAGGCAACTCAGCTGGGATCGTCAGAGCCTTTTGAAAGCATTTTTTTACAACCTCTTCGCCGAAGAGATTGTAGAAAAAATGGTTTTAAAAGTAAAAAAAAAAAAAATGGCCATGCCTACCCAGTCACATTACCCCTCCCAAGCCACGCCCCCAGAACCAGTAATAACAAATTTTAGATTTCACCACTGCTCACACTTATGTCTACTACAGCATCCCCATGGTCATGTGATCAAAATTCAAGTGTTTGGCAACTGAAACGTATTTACAATGGTTGCAGTGTCCAACTCAGGTTATGTGAATAATACCATTTGTAGAGTCCTTCAAGTTTTTAGGGTTCTATAATCTCCAGGGATTTGAAATGGGCAACTAATATTAGAACCATCGTTAAAAACTCATCAACTCAGAAAGTGCACATGGCCCCAGAAGCTGTTGATACAATTCTAAGGAGGAATTATTGAATCTGTCATCTGTACTTCAATAACTGTCTGGTGTAACCAAACAGGACAGTTTCAGACTTTAACGGATAGTTATAGGACTGCAGCAAAAACCCTTGCAACCAGCCTGCCTTTAATTGAAGACTTGTATATTGCCCAGGTCAGAAGGAAGGCTGAGAAAATATCTACTGACCCCTCATATCCTGGACATAAACTGTTTCAACTCCTTCCCTTGGGGTGCTGCTATAGGGCACAGCATGTCAAAACAACTAGACACAGAGACAGTTTTTCCCCTTGTCCCATCACTTCGTTTAACACCTAATTCCCACAGTACTCTTATGCCTAAGTATATTTATCCATGTAATAAGGCTATATTATTATTATTATTATCATTCTCATCTTCTCTATTACTTCCTCTTATTGGTATCATTATTATGATTATTATTATTACTCTGTTGTTTTGTATGTACACTGCGAGCCTCTGCACCAGAGACAAATTACTTGTGTGTATAATCACACTTGGCCAAATAAAGAATTCTAATTCTAATTCTAATTCTAATTCTAATTCTAATTCTAATTCTAATTCTAATTCTCTCCTTATCCTTATCCCTGTCCTGTCCTGTCCTATTCTATTCACCTTCTCAGCCAGCTTGTTATAAAGAAAAACAATAGAGCAAGCTGGATTTGCTTATTGATCACATGATTCATTTAACAACTGTAGTGATTAACTTAATAACCATGGCAAAACAAATTGGACACCTCTCACTTAAGAACCATCTTGCTCAAGAAAAGAAATTGTGGTCATAAGCTAAGGACTATATGTATGCTATCCAAAGTTGATAGCTCTACAACTACACAAAGCACGCCAATGCTGCATAATTATTAAGAAAAGGTCACCATGTCAGTAGCCATCCAACCTGTGTTACAGCCTAAAAAGGGACAACAAATTCCATTGACCCTACAAGACACGTTCAAGTTAACTGGGCAGAAGCATCTCACTCCATCCCTGGCAGTAAAATACCCAAGAGATAAACCAAGAGACAAGCACAAATGAAATAAATGTTTGTTGTCCTTCGAACTCCACTGCACTCCCTAACATGCTGCTGGCATGACTTTCTCCAGGGATTTAGACAGGCAGTGATTTCAAGAATTTATGCCATGGAAGAAAATTATCTAGGCAAGCTTGTTTTGATTAACAACAGACATCCGCATACTGCAGATGCATCCACAAAACACGTGTCAGTTTCAAGATTTCTTGGAAGAACGGCACTCTAAATCCTGCACTCAATATTATCGATCCCTTTAAAAAAAAATGAAAGTAGTCTCAGTAGAAAGTGTGTTGCTTTTTTTCTTCAAGACACACCCAACAGTACCTGTTGAGTGCGTTGCACATCTCAATTGTCACCAGCACTGAGAGTGCCATGGTGGTTGGGTAACGGGATTCGAAGATTTCACAATCGATGCCTTCGAAGATGGGGTTGTCTTCCGTGCATCTCATGAAGTTCCTCTGTAGGCAGAAAATACAACCTAAGGTTCAGTGGCTGCGAGGTGTGGCTCGGAGATTAAGGTCTTCCAAAGCTTGCAGTGGTCTAAAGACTTCTAATGTCACTGGGGATAGTCATTACGGGAGGAATTTTACTATCATTTTAATGAAAACTTGGGCTATTTTATATTGTGATCTTGATCGTTTTTATTACAAGCCAGTTGAAATCCATAAAGCATAATAAATAAAAATACATAAACCCCGGCATGCAGCAAATATTATAAGCAATAGGAAAATACTATAATCCTTTCAAAAGGTAAGGAGTTCTGCCATCTACATTGCATTCAGCTCCTATAGGAAAGTCAGGTTGTAAATCTAAAGATTTAACAAAGCTCAAATAACTCTGAAAACATGTGGAACAGAAAGACAAAGTTTAATAGCCTCTCTAAATCTGAATAAAGAAAAATTATGCAATTCTCTTGGGAGTTTTCCACAATTCACCACCGAGAACCCCTGTTCTATGTTAACACAGAAAAAAAAAGTCAGTGTTTGATTTTTAGATGCTACATGTCTTCCTGCAGGGATGTTTTCTTGCTCTGTGTGAGATTTGTCACATTGGCTAAACAATCTAAAGCATCATATTCTGGACATTAGCAAAAGTAAGAATTAGCAGTTTTCCTTTTTTATGCAACTAGTAATTTTTTTCTCCCATGATTTCCATAAAGATTCCCTACATTACAGAAACTCCTGCTGTTTCCACAATCCAGTGGCAATAATAGATATAAAGAAGAATGAATCCCTTGAAATGAAAAGGAATTCCTATGGAAAAACTTAATAAAATATTTTTTTAAAAAAAATTGAAGTATAATGCTGTAATAGCAGCTGTCTAAATAAATTAACAATAGTATCTTCACCTTCTTGAAGCAATAAGATAAAAGACAGTATGTATATGTATGTAAGGATGCGTGGCTCGTCCTTAAGGAGCTACATCTGTTCCTAGCCTCACCCTGATAACATTTATTCTGAAGCCACATTTTTGGCTCTAGATGTAACATGCATCGCATCTCTGCAAGATATAAAGATGCAAACTGTTTTTTCCCCCAAGTTAGATCTCTAACTTACCAGCTGATGAAAGGTAACTTGAGGTCCTTCAGCATCGTATAAGAACCACCAAGTAGCTGCACCTACAGTTGCAAACCCAACATAAACTGCAAAGGGAAAAATAAAATTAAATAAAGGAATGGGACTAAGTTAAATAGCTTTTTGGTCTTCATTATATATCAGGAGCCAGCCCCACCCCTTTTTGTCTAACTACATTCCAACCACCATCACTACCTGGTACATTTCAAATAAAAGCCCAAAATCATTGGACATTGTTAATTCGGTCTATACCCTGTTTCAGCTTAAAGAATCTAAGCAGCTTAAACGTTACCTGTTTCATTCCTTAAGCTATATACTACTAAAACTCTTTGTTAGGGAATTAGTATTACCTACTTTGTTGGGTTGGCAATATATAAACCATCAATATAGCTTTAAGACTGCTGTATTGCATCATATTGTGTCCTGATTGGTTAGCTCTGTAGCCAATCTCCTTAAGAGGGAGCTAGAAACATGTTTCTTTTTGCTGTTCTTGCTCTCTGATATCTCTGTATGCTACTGTTTGCAAATCTAGAAGAACTGTTTATTGTGAATGACTATGACGACTAGTAAGAAGACTTTGTTATTGGATTATCCCTGGACTGTCATTTTGCTATCTCCTGCTTTATATGTGTATGACCTGGACTGTTTAGTGGACTGTGCCTTACTATTTCCTGAAAGTAAACACAACTCAGTGTATCTGTGTGTTGACTGTGTTTATTCGTATCTACTCTCAATCGCTTTCGTGTGTACACCCTTGCTATTCAAGGGTTACTCTGCGAATTCCTTAACACTCTTGCTATCATGACCTTTAACTGGGTGAAAGGATGCATTGTACAGCGACAATTTTTGAACCAAGGTACCTCAATTAGGCTAATTTAAAGAATGTGTCCAAATCTGGGACCCATAACTCCTGAGTGAATGAAATTCGGGAAACATGTGGCTCCTTTAACGGTACTGGTAGCTGCCAGGCTCTTGCTGCCATTTTGTAATGTTTATTTTCAATGTTCCATAGCAGTTTCTCAGTCAGTCACGCAATCCCTCATTCCCTCCCCCATCCAGCAACAGCCACTCACTTGCTTTTTGGGAAGGGAAAGGAAGGGAAGGGAAGGGAAAGGAGGGAAGGACGATTTCTGATGCTCCCACTGGAGCATTCTAGGATTTCAAATCCACTCATCTGGAAGGCACCCAAAATAGGCATAAAAAATGTTCTCACCTCCAATTGCAAGGTAGCGGAAGAACAACCATCCACTAATGAGAGGTTCTCTAGGGTTCCGGGGCAATTTATCCATGATGTCAAGGTCAGGAGGATTAAAGCCGAGGGCCGTAGCTGGCAGACCATCAGTCACCAAATTCACCCAAAGCAACTGGACTGGGATCAAAGCTTCAGGAAGGCCCAGGATGGCCGTCAAAAAGATGCTGAAAATGGAATACAAATATATATTTTTGTGGCCTTCAGCAGCAAAAATGATAAGGAGTCTGGAGGCTAAACTTACGGTGAATGGTTGCAGGAACTAGGTATGTGTAGTTTAACTAAGTTAAGGACTGGGGTGATATGACAGCATGGTTCCAGTATTTCAGGGGTTACTACGAAGAAGTGTATAAGTCAACTTATTTTCCAAAGGCAGGACAAGAAGCAATGGATGGAAACTAATCAAGGAGAGAACCAACCTAGAACTAAGGAGAAATTTCCTGACAGTTAGAACAATTAATCAGTGGAACGATTTGCTTTCAGAAGTTGTGAGTGCTTCAATACTGGACGTTTTTAAGAAGAGATTGAACAATCATTTGTCTATAACAGGGGTGTCAAACTCAAAGCCTGTGGGCCACATCTGGCCCACGGGATGCTTAGATCTCGCCTGCTGGCCTGTCCTGGAAGTAGCAAAGGACTGGCCCGCGGTGCCGCTGCCAGGGAAATCAGTGGCCCTCCTGAGCTCTGTTTTCGCTGGCAGAGGGTTGCAGGAGGTTGTCCCAGCCAAAACTGAAGCTCAGGAGCCCATTTTCGCTGGCAGAGCATTCAGGCCACAGGTGCCCCTGACATGAGTGACATCAAGCTGGCCACGCCCTCCGTGGCCATGCCCACCCCAGCCCCATGAGGTCAAACACAATCCTGGTGTGGCCCTCAATGAAATCGAGTTTGACACCCCTGGTCTATAATGGTAAATGATCTCCTACATGAGCAGGGTGTTGGTCTAGAAGATCTCTAAGATCCCTTCCAACCCTGTTATTCCATGTTATTCTGTTATTTTATTAGGGCAGGACTAACTATTTCAGACTAAACCAGAATGTTTAAATCATTGACAAATCTTTATAATGTGACACAGAGCTAGACAGCACCCAACAGAAGCCCTCAAAGAGTTGACAATGGTACACCCTGAAAAGCTGCTTTCCGCAACTATATCCTATTGTACCTTTGCACAATGTTTGCATACTATATAGTAGGAACACACTGTACTTTCAAGGCAGCAGATTCAAATTATACAATGCGATCCAACAATAGAAGCATCAGATCAGACACTCAGCCAACATTAACTAGCCCAGATGTAATTTGGGGGAGTCACTCAGTCATTTTCTTCGAACAGTATTTTCAGTTGGAGCTGCAAAGGCCCATTTTTACGTTCTAGGTTCCAGATGCTACCTTTACCTTGTACTTAGGTTTTGGGCAAGTTGTGGAGCTCTCCGCCTCAACCAGTTCGATTCCTCTGAAATGGGGACTTTGTGATCAATCATGCTGGTCACAACAGCAAAATTGTACATGGGCATGTAGACTTTGAAAGCCATTTTGTGAGAGTGTCTAGAGAAATTCTTCATGATTATAAAGTGCACACCTGGCCTCCCACATCTGGGGACTGTTTTCCTCACTGAACTTTGCACCAGCTCAAATGGAACATTTTTGGTTTTAAAACTGAATGAAAACAGAGGTTCCCAGATCTGAAACTGAATGCCCCCCCCCCAAGAACAATTTTGGCATAGTTTGCTATTAATTCTGTTGAATTTTCCAGCAGATGTGCTGGAGAATTGCCTCTTAAATTGAAGCTGAAAATATGTGAGGGGACATATAGCCTCCCAGGATTCCAGGACCCCACTCCTGCCATCTCCAACCAAAATGTCCATCACCAATAGAATATATGTACCCAGAGTTGAATGGTGGTGTTTTTGATGACTTCACCAAACTCAGAAAGCAACAAGATCTCCACAGAATGTCCAATGTTTGTGATGGATGAAATCTGCAATCCCATAACTATTTTCTCTACACTTCATTATTTTCAGTTCTGATCAGGGCTGCCCTAATGCTCTTACCAGACGACTTCTCCAACATTAGAAGAAATGAGGTAGCGGATGAACTGCTTCATGTTGTTGTAAATAGCTCTGCCTTCCTCCACAGCAGCCACAATGGTAGAAAAATTATCATCTGACAAAACCATCTCTGCAGCTGACTTGGCCACCGCTGTTCCAGAGCCCATTGCGATACCAATTTCAGCTTTCTTCAAAGCAGGGGCATCGTTTACTCCGTCACCAGTCTGGAGAAAATAAAGTTAATTTTGCCCAAAGATTTGCATAATTCAGTGTTTTGTTTAGGAACTGTTTCCAACACTGGCCAACCTGATGCCTCCAGAAAATCAGAAGATATATGAACTCAAAAGCTAGTTTAGACTGTCAAAATAGCAATGGTGGACAATTCTCTACTAGTCTACCTATCTTTTTGATGTGTTATTAAACTAGGCATCTTGATGTATTATTAAACTAGGTATCTTTTTCCTTACCTAGTCCACTCCAGATATGATGGATTAGGAATTTCCCAAATTCCCAGCCAACATGCCGAAGAATTCTGGGAATTGAAGTCCAATAAAGAGCCTTGATAGTACAATGGTTTAATGCACCCTGTTATTAACATAGCTGCCTGCAATTTCTGCTGGTTCGAATCTCTCCAAGGCTCAAGGTTGACTCAGCCTTCCATCCTTTCTAAGGTAGGTGAAATGAGGACCCAGTTTGTGGGGGCAATAAGCTGACTTTGTATAAAATATACAAAAGAAAGAATAAAGGCTATTGCCTAATGCATTGTAAGCCGCCCTGAGTCTCCGGAGAAGGGCGGCATATAAATCAAATTTTTTTTTTTAAAAAAAAAACTATCTGGATACAGGGGTGAAATGCTACCGGTTCAGGCCAGATCGCCTGAACCGGTAGTAAAAAGTGCTACTGGTTCGCTGAACTGGTAGTAAAAAGTGCTACTGATTCACTGAACCTATAGTAAAAAAAAATGTAAAAAAAAGTTCCGACGATCAGCTGAGTGACACAAAATCGTCAGAACTTTTTTTTTTCATTTTTAAAGCAATTTTTTACTACCGGTCCAGGTGAATAGTTAGTAAAAAAATGCAATTGTGCGGCACAGCTGTGATTGTCCAAGCCTTTTAAAACTTTTTTAAAGCATTTTTTTACTACCTATTCTCCCGAACCAGCAATAAAAAAAATGCTTTAAAAAAGTTAAAAAAAAGGTTCTGACGATCATGTGCCACAGCTGATTTTCCCCCCACTGTTCTACTTACCTTCTCAAGCCTCCTTTTGGAGCGTACTGCGCATGTCCATGCGGCGTGCGTTTGGTGCGAATTGTGCATGCATGCGCGCAGCACATGCTTGCCGCACAGCATGTGTACGCAGCCAGCAAACCGGTAGCAAACCGGTTCAGATTTCACCACTGGATAGCACCAGATGTAAAGACTAAACATTGGCAGTTTGATGTTGGATGGACTTCAACTCCCAGAATTCCCCAGCTAGTATGCTGAAATTGAAATCTTCAAGTTGCCATAGTTGAACTGAACTATAGATACATTCTCATCCAAGAAAGGAGAAAGAAACCTGAAGAATACATGCAACCCTATTTACTTAGTTATTTGATTTATATCTTGCTTTTCATCTACCCCTCCATGCTATCTTCCAATACCTCTAAGTAAATCTGGAGGATCCAAAGACAAAGAGGGATCATCTGAACTCACCATCGCTGTGATTTCATTGAATGACTGTAGGTATTCAACTATCTTGGACTTATGCGCAGGCTCTACCCGGGCAAAGCATCGAGCTGAACGGCAGGCATTGCTTTGGGCATCTGGTGAGAGATCGTCAAATTCTCTGCCCGTGTAGGCTTTGTCGGTCACCTCCTCGCTCTCTGAGAAGATCCCAATCCTCCGGCAGATAGCCACGGCTGTTCCTTTGTTGTCTCCGGTGATCATGATGACACGGATGCCCGCTTTCTTGCACATTTCGATAGATGACACCACTTCCTTCCGAGGAGGGTCCAGCATTCCCACGCAGCCAACAAAGGTCAACTTAGTCTGCAGGCAAAAGGGAGTGAGGGAAGACATCTTTCTAAAGTTTGATTTTCTACTTTCTAAACTTTGGATTTAGGGAAAATGTTGTGTGGAGGTGACTGCTGTTGAACCAACAGAAACCAGACTTAGATGGTGTCACTTCTCCTCAGAGCAAACTAGCCAATGTAGCAACTCTGTTGAGATGTGGATTAGAATCTGACACCTAGAAGAGGAGAACCTTAAAGCCATGTGCCTTCCTGCAATAAGCTCAGAACCCCCCGCACAATTCCTCTTGAAATGTATTGCTGTGATCTATTTTTAAGTACAAACTTATTTTACTGTATCAAAGTCTTTAAAAGACTTAACTTTTCAGTATAATTTGTGGCTGGTTTAGATTTATAGGGGTGGATAGTTTCTGTAAGGAAAGGATATTTGGTTTTACATTTGGGATGCAGCTTTTCCTTCCTTTTTGTGAGCGTGATTTCAACAGCCTTTGCCTAAAAGGTTACCCAGCCTTCTTCCAAATGTATAAGGAAAGACACACCTTTTGGGAGATTCCTTATCATCCAACATCATGAACTCCCCTTGTGGAATCATAGAGCTTAAAGAGACCATAGAGGTTTTCTAATCCAATGTAAGACCCAACAGAGCATCTCTGGTGGTTGGTCATCCAGTCTCTGTTAAAACCTCAGCAAAGACAAACTACCAGGTCACATGGCAGCTTAATCCACTGGCTGATGGCATGTACAGTTTTAACATTTTGGTCTTGCCCTCTGGGCAAAAGGAGAAAAAGTCAACTCCCTTCTCCCACCTCCAGATATTGGAGACTGCTATCAACTCTCATCTCCAAATTATCTTTTCTGTAAATTAATCCTACCTAGAGGTTTTAACTATAAGTCCCAAATGTGCTTTTTCAGAAGGCAACTGGACTTTCTTGTTTTTTCTTTGAAGACGTTTCGCTTCTCATCCAAGAAGCTTCTTCAGCTCTGACAGGATAGTGGGGAATAGAACGATTCATATATGAATGTACTCCAAAATTGTATTTGCTTTTTTAGCAGCTGAGTCACCGTACTGGCTTACACAGGTAGTTTTCGCTCCCAGGACACTGCAGGAAGGCCTACTAGGCCCAAAACCAGGCATGGGGGACAGTGGGGCGGCCTTCCTGTGGCCTGTTTTTGCTCCCAGGAGGTCTACTAGGCCTAAAACAGGATGCGGGGGGGGGGCATGGCACATCCCCCCCTGCGGCCCGTTTTTGCTCCCAGTGGAGTGCAGGAGACCAAGTGCTGCCTGTCACACCCCCTGGCCACGCCCACCCAGCCGATCATTAGGACAGAGAACCGGTTGTTAAATTATTTGAATCCCACCACTGGTCATAAGCAACTTTTTTCAGTGTTGTTGTAACTTCGAACGGTCATTAAATGAAGGGTTGCAAGTTGAGGACTACCTGTATAGGGCCTATAAAGACCCTCTTGCCCACTTACTTCATAGTTAACAAACTGGCTGGAGTCATCGAGATGCATGTCCTCTTTCCGAGGAGGATGGTCTCGTGTGGCCAAGGCGAGACAGCGTAGAGTGTCGATGCCGGTACCCCAGTCCCGGATCTTGGAGAGGATCTTCTCTTTGACAGAAGAAGTCAAAGGGACGTGGTTTCTGCCGACACGAACGTAACTGCAGCGCTCAATGACACTTTCCGGAGCACCCTTGCGAAAGAAAAGAAATGAAATGTCTGAACTGACCCAGACAGTCAAGCAGGTCAACTCTTGGAGCCTAATGGGAAGTGTGTGTGTGTAATTTTAAACCTTGTAAATCTTGGGTTGGGTGAAGCTTTGCCTTCTCTCCAAAAGTTTTAGCCTAATGTTGTTAATTCATCTAATAAAAGAGGAAATTAGTAAACACTTGAGTAGTAAAGAAATGAAGGGCATTCAACATACTTGGAAATTTATTTTATTTTAAATGTATGTCTGTGATCTGATTAGCTTACATTTGAGAATGCGATGTCGGACACGCTACTCAAAGGCCAAAGACAATTTGCTAGGCTATGTGAAAAATAAATGTTTTTTTCATGCAAAGAGTAGTTAATTTATTAGGTCGGAATGCCTATTTTCTCTCTCCAAATAAGTTCTGCATCGAAAACTAATCAAAGAGCACCCCCTAGCGGAAACACAAGACTTTAAGGCAATCTCTAGGACAGTGATGGCTAACCTTTTTGTCATCGCATGCCAAAACCAGGGGTGTGCCCATACCCATAATTCAATGTACCCCGCCCCCTGCGCATGCACGCGCAACCCCCACGCACTCCCCCCACCTTTGGCAAGCGATGGCATGGTGGGCCTGGTAGGCTCGTTTTTCACCCTCCCCAGGCTCCAGAGGCTTTCTTGGAGCCTGGGGAGGGTGAAAACGAAAACGAGTCCCCCCCCCCCCCCCCCGGAGGCCAGAAATGGCCTGCTTGCTGACTTCTGGTGAGCCCGGAAGGCCTGAAAATCAGATGTGCATGCCAGAGCTGAGCTAGGGCAACGCTCGCGTGTCCACCGATATGGCTCCGCGTGCCACCTGTGGCACGTGCCATAGATTCGCCATCACAGCTCTAGGACGTTAAGTCAACATTTATTTTGAAACACAAACACTCATTCTTTTTCAAAATGTGTCAAAGATATCAGAGAAAGGGAAGAAAGAGTGGAAAAAAAACCTGAGAGGCACAGATCATTTCCTTACTTAAAGCACAACCATTTTGCTTCTAAAGAGACAGAGTTCAATCCTCTACAGCAGTGGTTTCCAACCTTTTTTGGCCATGACTCACCTAAGCATCTCTAAAATCCTGATCCCCCCCCTCCCTTGACATATAATTCTTACTATTCAAAAAGTGACTCCTACTCATGCGGAGGAAGCCTAAAAGGCCATTAATTTGGTTTAAACAAGGTTCCAATTGCCCCCATTAAAAATCAAATTGCCCCCCTGTGGGGCGTGGGCCCCACATTGGGAACCACTGCTCTACAGCAAAGATGGGCAGCTATGGCTCCTTTACGACCTGTGAACTTCAACTCCCAGAATTCCTGTGCTAGCATGACTGGCTGGTTGAGGAATTCTGGGACTTGAAGCCCACAGGTCATAAAGGGACCGTAGTTGCCCACCCCAATGCGCTCTAGAGCAGTGTTTTTCAAACCTGGCAACTTTAAGATGCCTGGTCTTCAATTCCCAGAATTCCTATTCTGGCTGAAGAATTCTGAGAGTTGGTCCATGCATCTTAAAGTTGCCAAGTTGAAAAACACTGCTCTAGTCCCTAAAGGAATTCCTCCCCTTGACACATCACAGCAAACTCATCAATGCATTAGGGGGCAGTGCTGAGGAATTTGAGGGAATCGAAATTCTAAAAATATTAAGTATTTAAGGAATAAAGAAAACTATCCTAAGGATGGGTGTGGGGAAATGAAGAGACAAATTAGAATATGTAATGAGGACTGAGGACTGAGCAATGACTATGGAGGAGAAGAAGAAGAAATGGAAAACACAAAGATGGAATGGAGCAATGGAGCATCCTGGAAAAAAAAATCCTTGGTAAGCCAGTGTGTGTCCCATTGAAAAGTGAAGCACCACTATAACCACACCGCCATTTGACTTGTCAAGTCCAGTGCATAGAGAAAGCCATAGCAGCGGTGCCTCTAACTCAGGGGTGAAATCCAGCAGGTTCTAACAGGTTCTGGAGAACTGGTAGCGGAAATTTTGAGTAGTTCAGAGAACCGGCAAATACCACCTCTGGCTGGCCCGAGTGAGGTGGGAATGGAAATTTTACAATATCCTTCCCCCAGGAGGGGAGGGAATGCAGATTTTGCAGTATCTTCCCCTGGAGTGGAATGGGGATGGAGATTTTGCAATATCATTCCCCTGCCACGCCTACCAAGCCATGCCCACAGAATCGGTAGGGAAATATTTTGGATTTCACCCCTGCTCTAACTGTGCCTTCACCACAGCAGGATCTGGTGCCAGCTGTTACCTTGACGAAGAGCTTGCCGCTCGAGGAATTGTGACTGGAGGCCACAGGTGTGCAATACACAGACATGGACTTGCGGTCGCGGGAAAATTCAAGGGTGCATTCCTTCTTCATCAGCTTTTTGATTACCTGTGTGTGTGGGGAATGACAACAGGGAACCATCAGTCTCAACCATAGAAATTGTCCTTGAATATATATTAACGTTTCTGTGAAGCAATTTTTAAATGTACAGATACAGATAAGCGTTCTAGAGTCACAGATCACAAATGCAGAGTAGCGTCTGGAATGCAAAATATACCGTCTATGCCATGCATGTTCTTTTCAGAGTGTTATATTTGTTCTCAGCCTAAAGGATCAGAAGGAAAAACAAATAAAAGGGCCACATTGTTTTTCTCTGTCTGGGCAAAAGGATAGCCTACAGAAAATGTTGGTTGTTGCCAAAAACAGTGTTGTATTTGTTTGCTCTTTTTGAATGTGCACAGGAGGTTTTTTTTTTTTTTTAAAGCTAAATTAAGCCTTTTAAAAATTTAATACTGCTCTTCTGCTTTTTATTTCATGAAAATATCATGATCTGAAGGTTGATACTTTGTCACCAAAGTTTATAGACAGGTTCTGGAAAGCCTCCAGGGCAGATAAACTGCATTTGGTCCATTGGTTGCAAATTCCAGCTCCAGACCTTTCTTGCCAGGCCAAAGTATTATGGCATTGAAATAGAGACTTGGTTACATAGCCTAGGAATATTTTGCACCCAGCATAGAGGTCTATCTATTTATTATCTAACAGACAATAAAGAATTTGCAAGTTAAAAACAATTCCGGATATATTTACAAGGTTATTGTATGCATAACTACACGGATGGGTCACCCACGAATGTCAAGAAAGCACCAAATTTAATATTTAGTTATTTGTGGAGTTATTGGATTTACATTCAGCTTTTCCATTATGCAAATCCTCAAGGCCGCTTCCAACAATTAACACAGCAACTGGCAATGCCTTGGTGCTCTGGAATTGTCCCATTTTTCTCCCCTGCAGAGAACTGCAGCAATGGTTTATGGCTAGGAATAGGCTTTTATTGGGCAAACCACGCTTAAACATGGTCTGCAAGTCCCCATTTAAAGATCACAAATGCTGTGCTAAAATTTCTTCTGTTTCTACCCTGGAGAAATTAACCTCTTACTCACGGTATTGCAGGCACTGGCTCTTTCTACTTTGGAAAAACCACCAGTGTCTGTATTGAAAACATTCATCTTCTCCACAAGGCAGGTCAAGGCTGTTTCTGTCGCTTCGCCCACCTTTTCATAAACTTTCTTGGACTAGAAACCGAAAGGGAAGGTGCACAGTTAAACCAAAAGCAAAATACATTTCCTGCAGTGGTAGGCACTGCAACCTAGTTTGTTAAAAACAATTATGTTAAAAACAATTATGTTAAAAACAATTCCTCACCAGAGGAAAGGATGTTCAAATCTCAACGTTAAAAACAAAAAACAGTAAAATAAAGAATCTGGTGTAATATGTCTGCTTAACATGTAGGTAGGGAAAAAAAATCTAATTACCCTGTTTCCCTGAAAATAAGACATCCCCCAATAATAAGCCCAATTGGGCTTTTGAGCGTATGCGCTAAAATAAGCCCCCCTAAAAATAAGCCCTCCCCGAAAATAAGCCCTCCCCAAAAATATTTAAATGTGTGTGCAGCTGGTCCCCGCCATTTCCTCTGGTTAAGAGTTAGGGAGACAGAGCTGGAAATCAGGTAAGACGGCAAGAGGAGCCCCATCTTGCTCCAGGTGCCCCAAAATAATAAGACCTCCTGGAAAATAAGGCCAAGTACTTATTTTGGGGTTCAAACAAATATAAGACATGGTCTTATTTTTGGGGAAACACGGTAATATATCTAAAAGGACATATTACTACGCTGGAAATGGTAAAACCCTTTTTTTTTCTTTTTGCATTTTTTCTTTTATCTTAATTTGTAGGATTTTTATCTTTCTATTTTTAAACTTCAAGAAAATTATTCAAGTAGGATATACTTTTTGCATGCTATTTTTTCCCTGAAAATTAAGATTGACATGTATAACATACTCATTTTTATACATCAAAAGAAATGACAAATTCGTTTTAAAAGTGAAGCCTCCTTCAGTCTGAATCACAATTTCCTTTAGCTCCAGGCAGACTTCACAGTTCAAACTGGCGAAAGCTCTTCTGGGAACTGTAGGCTGAGCTACTGTATGATTTTCTTCCTGATTTGATATATAATATATGAGCACTGGTGGCGCAGTGGTTAGAATGCAGTATTGCAGGATAACTCTGCCCGCAGTCTGGGGTTTGATCCTGATGGGGCTCAAGATTGACTCAGCCTTCCATCCTTCCAAGGTTGGTAAAATGAGGACCCAGATTGTTGGGGACAATGTGCTGGCATTAAAAACCACTCAGAGAGTGCTGTAAAGTACTATGGAGTGGTATATAAGATTGTTAATGCTATGGCTAATACTAATAACAAAAAACTCACCTCATTATAATCCAGCGAGGAATCATTGCAAAGGGCACAAATGGTTGCAAGTTCTACTAAGCCATCAAATTCTCCACACTTAACAGGGTTATCATTCTTTAAGCTGCCATTTTAAAAGGAAAATAGGGGAAACAAAGTAAAATTATGTCTGACTGGCAATGAAGAAGCTTATATCCTTTGCAACCCGAATGCAGTAATCAATATAACAGGGCAGTACATTGATTTTTTTTAATTATGGTATTTAGTAATAGTACTATATCTTACCATAGCTTTCCTAGAAGAAAATTGTCAAAGAGACTTAGGACAAATTCCATAACTGACAGGTAATCTGTTCCGGCAGTCATTCAGTAACATATTTCTACAAAATATGGTTTTAAACTTTTGTCTGTCTCAGCCAGCTTCAGGTCCTTAGTCCTGACTGTGAAACTGAATTCAAGAGAATTTTAACAGAATGGTGGGGCTTATGAAGATTCTGGAAGCAGCAGAAGCAATGGAGATCCTGAACAATTATTTCAACAGAGCTATGAAATCTTCCCAGTGCCATTGGCTGGGTGCTGCTTCTCCAGGCTCAGCATAGATCCTGGAATTTGACTGAAAAGGAGTTTTGTTATGCTTATAGGTGGCCTACTGGTTAAGATGCTGGGATTGTCAACCTGAAGGATGACCGTTTGAAACCCAAGCACTGTGTGATAGGGTGAGTTCTTGTTCCTGCCCCAGCTCCTACCAATCTAGCAGTTCGAAAGCATGCAAATGCAAGTAGATAAATAGGTACCACTTTGGTGGGAAATTAACAGTGTTCCATGCGCCTCGGTGTATAGTCATGCTGGCCACATGACCACGGAAGCGTCATTGGACAATGTTGCCTACCTTGGCTAAGAAATGGAGATGTGCTCGGTGCCCCTCCTTGAGTCAGACACGACTAAACAGAGGAAACCTTTACCTTTTCTATCTATAGATAAGACAGAGAATGTGTGTAACCTTCTGTTTCAAAAGAAGTATCTCAAAATAACTGGACCACCTAGAGTTAGAAAAAATTCTTTTGAAATTGCTTTATTTCCAAATACACCTACTTTTCTGTGTACCTATTTATTGCCTTTTTTTTGTTAACAGGGGAAAGAAGGAACCATTCCAATTTGCAGGTCTCTCTTCTGAATTCTAAAATGCCACCAACTGGCTAACGCTACAACATTTGATTCTCTAGGACACTGTGAAACCATAAGTGAGGGGGAGGTAAGACATAGGGATCCAAAGGGAATGTGAGGTAGCAAGAGCGAGAAGAATATTTTTGATGATTTGGAGAGCTGTTGCCAAAGTCAGAGCAGACAGAACTGACCTAGATGGAGCCCAATTCAAGATAAAGGAATTTTATAGAAAAGCAACAATTGCATAATGATGGAGCACAAGCAATGCAAGGAGAAGATGCCAACAGCATCTTCAGATGGGAGAATAGAATAGAATTTTTATTGGCCAAGTGTGATTGGACACACAAGGAATTTGTCTTGGTGCATATGCTCTCAGTGTACATAAAATAAAAGATACATTCATCAAGAATCATAAGGTACAACACTTAATGATAATCATAGGGTACAAATAAAGAGAAAGATCCGATCTGAAAGCCACTGGCAACAAGTACCATCTTCCTGTCCTCCAAATGTGTAAGAACTGAAACTCCCACAATTCTCGGCTAATATGATCATAGCTGATGATAATGTTGGACATTCTGGGATTTGAGGTATAAGTAAAGAACAGCAGGTTAGAGAAGGCTGGTTTACAGACATCCCTTCACGTGAAACTTCAGGTATTTAGTGACAATCGAACCAGATGGATCAGCAATTTGGTATCTCCTTCATAAACCTCACTAGTATCTAATTATTCTGAAACCTTCCCCCACCAATGCCCTTTACTCAGGTCTTCTCACAGGCACATTTGCTGATTGTCAACAGCTCTCTAAGGTTTTGGGTGGCTTTCTCATGTTTTCCATCTGGAGGTTCTTCTTCAAAGGCCATGCTCTACCTTGGAGATGTGGCTGCTACATAAAAGAAGAGGAGCTTTGCCCTTATTATAGGCCCGTGATGGCGAACCTATGGCACGCATGCCACAGGTGGCATATGGTGCCATATTGGGGGGCATGCGAGCTCAGCTCCGTTGGGCCTTCTGGGCCCATCAGAAGTAGGGAAACAGGCTGTTTTCTGCCTCCGGAGGGCCTTGGGGTGTGGTGGGGAAGGCCTCTCTCACCAGGCTCCAGAGCCTTTCTAGGGTCTAAGGAGGGCGAAAAAGGCCTTCCCCAGCCCCCCGGATGCCCTCCGGAGGCCGGAAACAGCCTGTTTGCCAACTTCTGGTGGGACCAGAAGGCCTGTTTTTTGCTGTCTACAGGCTCCAGAGCCTCTCTAGGAGTCTGGTTGGCAAACGGGCCGTTTTTGGCCTCCGGAGGGGTGGGGAAGGCCGTTTTCGCCCTTCCCAGACTCCTACAGAGGCTCTGGAGCCTGGGCACAGCAAAAAACAGTCCCACCGGAAGTTGGCAAACGGGCCGTTTCCGGCCTCCAGAGAGCCTCCGTGAGGGGGTGGGAAAGGCCGGTTTTGCTCTCCCCAGACTCCTAGAAAGGCTCTGGAGCACGGTGAGAGAGGAAAAACAAGCCTACCGGGCCATCGCGTGCCAGGAGCAGAGGGAGTGGGGGTGGGTGGGTCATGCACGCATGCGCAGGGCGCATAGAATTATGGGTATGGGCATGCGCGACCCCCCCCCTCCGCTCCTGGCACGTGATGGCAAAAAGATTATCCATCACTGTTATAGGCTAAGGCCCTCCTCTTGAGAACTTCTTATGGGAAGGCCAGCTTCCAATTAGCACGTGTGCATGCACACACACAGATTTTTCCAGACAAATTCCTGTGAAAGAGCCTTTTTAAAGGAATGTCGGAAGAAGGCCGTCTGTCAGTGAGTGGCTCCTATGAGACTGACAAATTGTACCCTTTCCCTCGATGTCTTGGACAAAGTACAGCTGTGATGGAAAAGCAACTTGCTAATTAAAGGCACATAAGAATCTTCACAGGAAAGAAGAGTTTACATTTCCAAAAGAAGAGGCAAATTAACACCTTTCGATGCTGAAATGATCCTAGAGAAGCAGAAGTAAGGGTGGTAAGTGGGGAGGGGGAATCACAGTCCTGGTTTTTTCCTTATTTTTAAGCCCTTTTGATTATTTCAAAAAAAGTATCTCACAAAAATCTAAGAAGATTTGGAGCCGGTAAATACGGAATGGGACAACTCAGTACAGCCAACTCTCCAAGGCCAATTCGCCACAGCCAACTTGCCTCAGGACAACTCCCTGTGAGGCAATTCCACAATTCAATTTAATTATTTAAAATAATTAAAAATTTATTTTAATTTTTGTCATTCACATTTCGTTTCTTCTTTAGCACCTTTTATTTAATGATTCTATCCCACTATTTCTTGAATATTAATGTACGTAACTCCTGTCCCGTGGTGAGTTGCCATGGTGAGTTGTCCCACAGCAAGTTGGCTATGGTGAATTGGCTGTGGCAAGTTGGCCATGACGAGTTGTCATAGACCCAGCACATACCCAGATAGGAGACCACAAGAAAATCACTGGACTGGAGTTGCATAAAAAAATTGAAAAAAATATGACAGACTTGAACATTGGGCGCTATCTAACAAAATGAAATTCAACAGTGAAAAAAGTAAGGTTCTACATTTAGGAAAGAAAAACAAAATGCACAGGTACCATATATGTGGTACCTTGCTCAATAGTAGTAACTGTGAGAGGGATCTTGGAGTCCTAGTGGACACCGTTTAGATATGAGCCAGCAGTGTGCCAACACAGTTCTGGACTGCATAAACAGAGGGATAGAATCAAGATCATGTGAAGTGTTATTACCACTTTATAATGTTTTGATAAGGCCACGCTTGGAATATTGCATTCAGTTTTGGTCGCCACGATGTAAAAAAGATGTTGAGACTTTAGAAAGAGTGCAGAGAAGAGCAACAAAGATGATGAGGGGACTGGAGGCTAAAACATATGAAGAACGGTTGCAGGAACTGGGTATGTCTAGTTTAATGAAAAGAAGGACTAGGGGAGACATGATAGCAGTGTTCCAATATCTCAGGGGCTGCCACAAAGAAGAGGGAGTCAAGCTATCCTCCAAAGCACCTGAGGGCAGGACAAGAAGCAATGGGTGGAAACTAATCAAGGAGAGAAGCAACTTAGAACTAAGGAGAAATTTCCTGACAGAACAATTAATAAGTGGAACAACTTGCCTGCAGAAGTTGTGAATGCTCCAACCCTGGAAATTTTTAAGAAGATGTTGGATAACCATTTGTCTGAAGTGGTGTAGGGTTTCCTGCCTGGGCAGGGGGTTGGACTAGAAGACCTCCAAGGCAGTGGTGGGTTTCAAATTTTTTTACTACCGGTTCTGTGGGCGTGGCTTGGCTTGGTGGGCGTGGCTTGGTGGGCATGGCAGGGGAAGGTTACTGCAAAATCCTCATTTCCTCCTGATCAGCTGGGACTTGGGAGGCAGAGAATAGATGGGGGTGGGGCCAGTCAGAATTTTTACTACTGGTTCTTTAACTCAAAATTTCCGTTACTGGTTCTCCAGAACTGGTCAGAACCTGCTGAAACCCATCTCTGCTCCAAAGTCCCTTCCAACTCCGTTATTCTATTCTATGTGCAAAGAAGGTAATGGGATATTATTATCATACTGAGGCCAGGAGAATGTTATGGACCTCTCTATGAAATCATCAAGAATGAACCTGGGTGAAATTAAGTTTTTGCTTTGCCTTATTTGCTAGCATTTCAAAAGAAAGTTGGGTAAAGCATATTGCAACTAAATTTTATGTAAGGCTCCAGTAAGCTTATTTAAATCTTTTGTGGATAGCTGCATCAGTAGCAAAATGTCAACATGAGCATCATACAACATGAGCATCATGCAAATGCCATGAGTAAGCATCTGCACCCTGATATCTGACACAAGGATGTCAATTGAAGCATTTGAGTCACTTCATCACATCGATATTTGCCCACTGCAGATATCAAAAGCAGAGTTATAGAAACAATTTTGAACCCTGGGGAGTTTGGGGTGGGGTGGGGTGGGGGATTGTGGGGATTAAAATAACACAGTAACACTTCATACCCAATTAGATTGTTCTGGTAGGAACTCAGAAGACTACCATAGTTTTATTGGAGATTTATCTGAGAATTTTATCTGAGAATTTAATCTGTTCTCATTAAATACTCCCCTATCAGACATTACTTTGGAAAGGTAATGGATATCATCCTGGGATGTACCAGAGTAGAGGATCTTAGGATCCACTGGGATCCAATTGATTCCAATGAACTTCTGGTAAAAAGGATGACATAGAACAGGGGTGTCAAACGGAAGGCCCGGGCCCTGTGGGGTGCTTAGGTCTGGCTGTGGGGCTGCCCTGGAAACAGTGAAGACCGCCCCGCAGTGTCTCTGCCAGTGAAAACGGAGCTTGGGAGGGCCATGGGCAGCCTTCCTGAGCTCCGTTTTCACTGGCAGAGGGTTGCAGGAGGCCATCACAGCCGAAAACGGAGCTTGGAAGCCCGTTTTCACTTGCAGAGCACTCAGGCCACCACAGGTGCCCCCAACACAAGTGATGTTGAGCTGGCCATGCCCACCCCAGCCATGCCCACCCCGCCCCCAAGGTCAAACACAACCCTGATGTGGCCCTCAATGAAATTGAGTTTGAAACCCCTGACATAGACTATTGTATAAGTATCTTGGGGGTGGCCCACATGAATGTGTTTTCCTGGACATCACTAAAGGTGTGTGAAGGTCATTTCATCCCAACTCTTCCAACTAGCAGGTCAGGAATGAAGGTTATTTTGCGCATTGTACAGCAAACATAGCATGGGAAAATTAGGAATGCTGTACACATTTGCACTATGCTCCAAGCTGTAGCAGTTAATAGTCCATTATCTTCTGCTTTTATGGTCAAGATTAACTTGGGGGAAAATGGGAATACACATCATAAAACATGTGGTAACCCCTGAGTAAACCCAAGAGATATCAATTTCTAAGATATTTCTAAAATATGTCTTCTTTTTTGCCATTTTATGCCCATATAGGTTGATAAAATGCATATTGTATATTTGAAGAAGCAGAATCTGTATTCTACTGGTATGAGGTGTTTCCAGCACACAGAAGCACCTGATGCACTAGTAAAAAGAAATAACTTTGAAATATGATTTTTTATCCAGGTACATGGTAATCAGAATTATATTTAAAAAGAGGTACAAGGAAAATGTATACAGTTTTATGCAGTTAAAAGCCCTCAAACTGGAGATGCAAAAATGGGACAAATTCAGGGGTGAAATGCTCCCGGTTTGGACCAGATAGCCCGATCCGGTAGCGATGGAGGCGGGTGGTTCGGAGAACCGGTAGCAAAAATCCCTGCCCTCCCCCCCCGCCCAGCTGAGCCACACAATCATCACAGGCTTTTTCTTTTAATTTTTAAAAGCATTTTTTCTACAACCTCTTCAGCCGAAAAAATGCTTTTAAAAGTAAAAAAGAAAGCCTCTGATGATCGCGTGGCTCAGCTGGGATCGTCAAAGGATCGTCAGCTGATGATCCCAGCTGAGTTGCCTGATCGGCAGAGGGTTTTTTTCTTTTAAAAGCCTCTGATGATCCAAGCTGAGTTGCCTGATCGGCAGAGGCTTTTAAAAGAAAAAAAGCCTCTGCCGATCAGGCAATTCAGCTGGGATTGTCAGAGCCTTTTGAAAGCATTTTTTTTACAACCTCTTCGCTGAAGAGGTTGTAGAAAAAATGGTTTTAAAAGAAAAAAAAAATTGGCCATGCCCACCCAGTCACATTACCCTCCACACCAAGCCACGCCCATAGAACTGGTAGTAACAAATTTTAGATTTCACCACTGGACAAATTGAACCTAAAACTGAAAGGAAGGAAGGAAGGAAGGAAGGAAGGAAGGAAGGAAGGAAGGAAGGAGGGAGGGAGGGAGGGAGGGAGGGAAGGAAGGACTGAGAAAAATGTACAGATTTGCCCATCCTCACAGTCAAGAGAAAGAAAAAGCAGGATAGAAGGAACCTAAATAATTTTCTGTGATGAGGCACAATGTAAGTAGGTCATCTATTGCATACTGAAGTTTTCTAGAGCTGTTTGTTTCTTGTTTCTTAGATTCAAATTTCTCTGAAGCCTGCTCCAAAGAATTATTTCTCAGCTATAATGAGCCATCGCTGACCTAGTAAATCCAACTTTCTGTTACAATTATTTGTATTATTACATTCCTTTGGGGAAGGAGTTGTGGATTCTCACAGATCCAGAGAATGGAGACAGAAAGAAACATAGGCAGTTCAACTCTTCAATAATACATGAGGGGTGTGTCTAAATTGTCACACTTTCTCTGGTGAAAATTTATTCTGCTTATAGTTTCCCGTGGACTTTAAATAACAGCAAAATAATACTTCAGAACTGTGCAAGATGTTTTTGACCCTGGCAACCGCTGCCGAGATTTCACCATGGAACTCAAAACATTGTCTCTCCAAATTATGTCATTGGAGTATTTTGTGTCAAAAATAAAATAGAGATGAAAAGTGAATCTTTTAAATTAACATGTTACATCCAAAACTATTTTATACAGAAGCAAATGTGATGGGTGGAAATTTATGGTAGGTACAATGGAACACATGTTTTAATTCTGCGCCCCTGTGCCATTATTTAGTTGAATTCATTCCTTGGGGATGACCCTACTTTGTTTTGTTTTCTTTTGAACATGATTCACATACTTTGTGGGGTATATTGTGTTACAATTATGTTAAATATGCAATTATTTCTGCTTGGTGCTGAGACTAATTCGTTTTTGGGGTTCAGTAAAGGCCTACCTGTTTGCTTAAAGCTTTGGGCTGAGCTGATGATCCTGGGATTGCTAACTCTTCCCATTTTACGGTTTTCACTTTATAATTATATATAGTTTTCCTGGCTTCTTTTATTGCACCTTGTTTTGGGGTTGTCTTTAATAAAAAGTAGGCGAAACATGGCCATAAATAAATAGTGCAGCTGGCTATATCATATTAGTTTGCTATATTAGTAGATTTACTTGTGTGTGCATGCAAGGGTTTTTTGGGGGAGCGGGACTGATAAAATTCTATAAAGATGTTGTCCTGTGATTGACCTGCATATTTCAATTAACACCTGGAAGAGAAGTTGCTTAGACAAGCTAGATCTTCCTATTTAGTCTTATGAGCTGTGAAATAACAAACTTCCAACTCTAATCCCAGTCAAATAATTATCTCTCTCTTTTGTTGTTAGCAAGTGCCCAATGACTGCGAGACCCTTAATGTAATAATGAAGACTCTTCATTAATGTATAACCTTTGCTGATGCCTAAGCTGAATAACTTTAGGGATGGAGGGGAAAAAGAGATGTTGCAGGCCTATAAAGCTTGTTCAACTAAACTAAAGCAATCCTCTTGTGAGTCGAATTCTGGAGACCCCCAGAAGGACAGGCAGAGCCTGTAGGTGGAGTCAAGAGAGGAATCAGCCTGGAGTCATTAATTTCCCACAAATGGTCTAAGTCCAACATCTCTTGAATTCCATTAACTCTTATCTAGTGCAAATGTAGTGCTGACCATTAGCTGACTAGATTCCTGTGTATAGATGTGGGCAATAAATCAGCTTAACTGGACTTAATATGTGGGTCTTGATTCTTCTTGCCTGACAAGACTGTCCCCACCACTTGGGGTTCACCACTGCAGCTAGCAAGAGGCCCTTGGTGCATTTACAGTAAGTAAATGAAAAAGCTTCTTGGATGAGAAGCAAAACGTCTTCAAAGAAAAGAAAAACAAAAAACCAGAAAGTCCAATTGCCTCTTGAAAAAGTACCTTTGGAACAACCATGACCTGGATGACTGAGACTCTCCATAGACATTAAATAATGGGTACAATCACTGCCTTGAGTTATTTGTAAAAATTACAAAGGCAGGATATAAACAAACAAACAAACGAGCAATAAATAAATAAATAATAAAATTTAAACAAACATGATGCTTTTTGTTTTAGTCCTGGAATCTCTTTTAATATTGTAAGCCACCTAGAGTTACCTGTGGTAAGATGGGTGGCCAATAAATTGGAATGAATGAACGAACAAACAAACAAACAAACAAAACAAACAAAAAAAAAAAATCCTCCTGCTTTGGCATCTATTCTAAATTAGCTGGCAATTTAAAACTTTCAGAAAACAGATTGAAAAACAGCATAGCAAATTGAAAACAATGATATCACCTGACAGACACAATAAGATTGTTTTCCTTTTTAAAATGAGTTTTGTATTAATTTTTAAATATAATTTCAAAGGGAACCAGTTTGGTGTAGGGGTTAAGACACTAGGCTAGAAGCCAGTGTGAGTTTCAGACATGCCTTAGGTACAAAGCCAGCTGCGTGACTTTGGCCAGTCATTCCCCCTCAGCTCCAGGAAGGAAGAAATGCCAAATCACTTCTGAAAATGTTGCTAAGAAAACTGCCAGGACTTGTCCAGGCAGTTTCCAGGAGTTAATACTGACTCAGAAGCACAATCAATCAATCAATCAATCAATCAATCAGTCAATTTTCAAACATTGGGAAGATTTTACATCTATGCTTCACAAGTTCCAACAACAGGGCATAGTGCCTCCTAGTGGTCAGTAGAACCACTCACATTTGTCCTTCAGGGGTGTAGGTGGACCCAGTGATGGTGAACTCATGCAAGCTGCAGTGACTGTCCTCAATCTTCTCCACAATGAACATCTGCAATAAAGGGAGAAAGAAAGAGAGGAGCAATTAAAAGACTGCATTGTTGAAGGGCTAGTTACAAGTCACAAGTAGTTTTAAAGCATTAGTACATTGCTTTGTTATTTTATACACTGCTTTGTTATTGAAAAAGGAGACAATTTTGACAAAAACCTCTCATTTGAGACTGCAATCAGATACAATCACTACATGAATGATGTTCAAATTTGCAGCCTTCACTCCACCTTCTCTGGCATAATACAAGCAGTCCTCGATTAACAACTGTTCATTTAACAATGGTTCAAAGTTACGACGGTCTTGGAAGAAGTGACCTGTACTCACACTTATGACTGTTATATCACCCCTGCAGTCACAACTGGGGCGCCTGGCAACTCACTCGCATTTACAACCCGTTACAGTGTCTTGTAGTCATGTAATCATAATGAATCTTGCAAGTTGGAAAGTGCAAATCCCCCTCTAATATTTTTTCTTCTTTTTGTGACATTGTAATCCCTTAATCTGGGGTACAGTTAGGATGATAGGATAGAACTGAGCATTTACTGGCCAGATGCCCTTCCTGATGCCAACATGGAGTTTGCAGCAGATATTCTAATTTTCTTTATATTCTAATTTCCACTCTAATTTATTTTATATTCCAAGAAATTAGGGTGGGTCTCTTCTGAGCCTCTTGTCCTGCCCACTATCCAGCTGCAGACTATGCCATTTTTTAATTTACTGTTCTCTAGGCATATCTTTGGGCCCAGTCTTCCCACATACGATTACAGACTTATATGGTGTATTTCGGAAGTCTTTTTCATTTTGGCACCCCTTAAAATTGGTACCTAGGTGACTGTCTAGATTGCCTATGCTTAGAATTGGCCCCTCTATGCCAGTAGTGAAATCCATTTTTTTTACTACTGGTTCTGTGGACATGGCTTGGTAGGTGCGGCAGGGGAAGGATACTGCAAAATCTCAATTCCCACCCCACTCCTGGGGGAAGGGTACTGCAAAATCCCCATTCCCACCTCACTCTGGGGTCAGCCAGAGGTGGTATTTGCTGGTTCTCTGAACTATTCAAAATTTCTGCTATCGGTTCTCCAGAAACTGTCAGAACCTGCTGGATTTCACCCCTGCTCTATGCCCTTTAAACAACAGTTTGCTGTATTGAGAGATGAGACCCAAGGGCAGGTTATCAGGGGACAATCAGCGGGTGGGTGGAAATAAAGCCTCAGCCTGCTCCCACATTGCACCAAGGGAGCAGAAAGGGATGATGTCATTGCAACTAAATGCAATCTGATTCCTGTTCATGTCAAAATTTATTCTGCTTTTATCAGAGTCTTAAGCGATTCCCAGCACATGGGAATGTTCACTATTGAGTTCCCACATTTGTCAAATTCTTGAGTAACTAGGAAAGAACTGTTGTTTTATTTATTTTTCTTCCGGCCTCCTCTGATTTAGGGCTCCTCTGATTTCCGGCCTCCTCTGATTTAGGGCTTTTACTACTGTACCCATGATAACAATTTCTGCTGCTGTTTATAGTTTTACAACATAAAATCATCATCTAAAATGTTTGCAATCTCTCAGTACAATATCTTAAATTCATGAGTTAATGTGTGGTCCACTGGACAGTGTCCAGTGTTGAGATGCAGCGTTTGGGGGAAATGCAAAATCTGGTGATTATATAGATAGTCCTCAATTTACAACCCCAATTGGGATTAGAATTTCCATTGCCAATCAAGGCAGTTGTGAGTTGTGTCTGATTTTACAACCTTTACTTGTGGTTTAATTTCTTGCAGAGAGATTCACTCCTGATCTCCCTTATTTGTTCTTCTCAATATCCTGGCTTTTAATAGTGGATTCATATGATTTTATACCAGCCACTTGCAAGCGAGGTGGAGGGTCCCTCTCTCAAAATAGTTGCTTCTAACCAAATGAGATGATATTTTAGCTTGCCAAAGTATATCTGTTCATGAATTAAAATAAAATCATATTAAACAGGTAGTCCTTGACTTACAACCTCATTGACTCCGCAGTTATGGTTGTAAATCATGATGGTTGCTCAGTGGCTCACCACAGCACTACACCTAATTTTACAACCTTTTGTCGCAGTGGTCATTAAGTGAATGAACAATTTGTAAAGTGAATGCTGTGGTCATTAAGGAAATCCATTGTTTTCTACGGAGTGCTTTTTTGCTGGAAACTGGGAGTAAAACCAGTTTCTGGCAGTTACATTTGCAAACAGTCATAAATGTGGGCCAGATGCCAAGTGCCCCAAATGTGGGGAGACACCAGTCAGAATTTGGAATCCAGGTTGTAAGTACTTTTTTCCAGGCCTGTCACCTGTCATAACTTCAAATGGTCCCTAAGCAGGTCATAAGCTGAGAACTACCTGTATATATTTATCCCTCTTGGAAGCAATGGGAATTGAATCTACAAGGGGCATGAGATAGAAGACATTTCAAGCTCTGGTTCCTGAATGAATTGATGCTATGACCATGTTCTGGTCTCTTTAGCTTTTCAGCAATAGGGTTCCTTCTGCTTAAACACTCATCTGCTGTCCAGCCAAAGACAGTTGGTTCTCTTAGGTATTTTAAAAGGTTCCTGTTTTGAATGTTGCACGTTCATCCATGTTGATTTGTTTCTGAACTCACTGTGTCAATGCGTGTGGCTTTTAACAGTTACCACAAATGCTCAAATGCCATGTTTTTTGGAGCAATTAGCAAGGCTGAGGACTTACATGATCTCAGGCAGGTGAGGCTGGCTGGCTATGGCTGAGCATATCAGTTATAAATAAACAGGAATGTCACAAAAGCAGGTCCATAATTTAAAATAAACACAGAGCACTTGGTGAATTTACTTTTTTTTTTTTTTGGTATATTTACTCTGCTCACACAATAGCATTATTTATAGGCATGTGCTTCTTTCTTAATGTATCTTATTCCAACCTATGCTACACAATTTTGGAATAATTGTTTTTTTTCCAACAGGTGGGATTTCCCACTTCTGTAAACCTATCTCCTTTCCTGACCCTGTAGCCTTCTCTGTATTTTCCTGGCTGTGGTTATTCCTGCACCAGTCTGGGCGTGTTAAAGTCAACCCCAGTTCAGGCTTCGGCCTACCACGTATGGAAAGGAGTTCGGTATCCTATAGCAACCAAGCTTGGCACGCTATTTCTTCTATCAACAAAGCGCAAATGCAAGCGAGGATGACGCTGAGGGCTCACCATGGAGAGAGATCTGATCAGGTTCTCCTGCCTGCAACCTGTTTGCGTGTGGTTTCATTCCCATACCAGCAGCAGGTAAACAGAGTGGCGGAAATAGCAGATGGCTAATCCCCAATCCGGATAGGAAAGTATTTGATTCCAAGAGTCCTTTTAAAAGAGATTTGGAGCCTAGCCATCCACATGCAGCTCTTGTATACACACAAGGGCCCTTTTACCTGAAAAGGTGTGTGGGTACATGCTGCACCTGCTCCAAAGCTCTACTGGGCAAGGACCAAACCGCCCACTCACCCAGAGATGATTGTTCTCGCAATTTTAAAACACCCAGAAACTGCATGTTTACCTAAAGTTGCTTTCATTATATCATCAAAGGTTCTCTGAATAAGGGTGGCCCGAACAGGCTTGCTTAACACAGGCAGAAACTCTGTTTTATTTAACCATCTTCATAGAGAGGGCTGCCCCCATGCACCCCACCCGCACCTTAAGAAGAGGTATGTTCAGGGGTGGGCTCCAAAAATTTCAGTAACAGGTTCTCTGCCCGGTTGCTGGGTGGGCGTGGCCATGGTGGGCATGACCTAGTTGGCCTTCTGCACCATGGCGGGGTGGTGGTGGGGCATTTTCACCTTCCCCAGGCTCCGGAAGCTTTCCTTGAGCCTCTGGGAGGGCAAAAACTGCCTCCCCTGGGCTCTGGAGGCCCTCCGGAGCTTCCGGGAGATCCATTTTCCCCCCTCTCCGAGCCTCCATGTGGGCCCTGCACTTACTTCGCATCCAAAACAGGCTGCATGGAGACTCCTGGGAGGGGGGGGGGGGGGAAGGGTGGGCGGGGCCAGCCTTGGGTGGAATTTGGAGGTTCTCCGAACTGGCCATAACATTAGCTACGGGTTCTCCTGAACCCGGGTGAACCCGTAGCAGCCCACTCCTGAGTATGTTGCAGACCCCGTCAGTCAAGGAATTTCTCTTGGAAAGGTCCAGGAGAAGACACTTTTCTGCCATGGCACCCGCCCTCTGGAAAATCATGCCCCCCTCCTCCCGGTAAGATCTGCATCCACAATTTTGGCCTTCTTAAAGGGCTTGAAGGGCTCTGTCAACTGATGTATTTTTCTCTGTGCATGAAAGAGTATAATTAGTACGAACAGATAAGGATGCATTAATTTTGTCAGTGGGTAGCTTATTTTACAAGCAATTGATTTTAATTGAGAGTCATTAATTCAATTAGTATACATTCTTTCTACTTTAGGGTTTATTTTTAGTGTAATGTCTTGGAAAAATATATGTGTGTCTCTGTGTATGAGTGTCTCTGTGTGTGAGTGTGTATCCACACACTTGTGTAAGTGTGCCAAATGTACTCATTTATTATGGGGAGAGGAATTTAATTGGCATTGGAAACAGGTTAATGAAGTAGGGAAGTATAAAGTAAGAAATAGGAAAGATTCTTGTCCATGTCTATACTTCTTTTTCTGATTTTTATTTCTTTTGGGGTTGAACTGACTTCAATTCAGCATCATCACCTTTTCAGAGAAATACGGTGAACATAGCTGAGGATTCAAATAGAAAGATAAAAACAATTTGCTTAATCGAAAAGGCCCGCCAGGAGGCACCTAGACACAAAAGCTCCCTTATTCCCCCTTTTTTTCCAGGACAGATTAAAAGATAATGAGGAGGAGGATTAAGTCAGTCACACAGTCAGAAACACAAATAATGCCTAGAAATATTGGCTAAGAATGTGGCACCCAACTCAGGGTGAGGGATATGGCAATAAAATACATAGCTTTTCCAATTCTCCTGAGCAAAAATGGAA